ACATGCTCAACATCACTTAATAGTTTATTCCGGAAAAAAGCCCACACGAGGTTGGACCGTCAGTTGCCGAGGGTATAACTTGACTCAATACGGGCTGAGAGCTTAGCTTGCGGGCTGCTATATTTATGTATTCGTTACGTATTATGATGACATTTCTGACTGTGCACAACCTATCCAGGGGCCTCTTCTGGTATCAGTAACACCTCTAGGATTGATTATTAACTTTTTTTTATTTTTTTAGTCTTTGTAATAGGTATCTTCAATAATGGAATCATGAAAAATGTGTTCATGATTGTGACAAATTCTCTCCATCCTTCTTTTTGGAGCTTTGATCAAGTTAACGGGTATGCTGGTTCTAATCTATTTTCATTGGCTGTACAAGCTTAACGATCCAATTTTGATATTGTAGTGGATGTATACTATGATTCGAAAGACTGTAACATTATTACATCTCACATGGATTTTGATACTATATATGAATGCCAAGAAAATTACGCATGTTTATTGAATATTAAATCTCTTATAATTTCTAAGTTTAAGTTTCCTTTATGCTTACTCCGAGGCTTTTTATTTTTAATAAATTGTATAATTATCTATAATTGCTAACATTTGCAATATTAAAGATTTTATAAGTGTTCCTGATTATATATACTATATATTGCATTGAGACGGTGATATCTAATGATCTTTTGATTTCAATTCTACTCTCAGCTTTATATTCGATAAAAGAACTTGGCGATGTCAATTCCTCAATGAATTTTTCAACATAGAAGAAAGCCTGGAGCATCTCCTCTGGGTGGTGAAATAAATTTTAAGTGTTCATATTCGTGCGCTAAACCAATAGAATTTGTTGATGAAGGTCGGGCAAAGCGGATACGTGGAATCGCGTAAATGTTTTTCAACCAAATACTTAACATGTGTAACACCACCACAACAGCAAACAGAATGGTGAATTCAGATTGCACAGATACATACCAGATGTATTTAGAGGAGAATCTGGAAAGTGAGTTGATCCAGATTAATTATAATTTGGTAGTATAATAACAAAATAAATTATTGTTTGATCTATCTGATATATGTTTTAATTAGATCTCCAGGATTCGCTCTCCCTAGTATCGGTGTTTTATTTTCCGTCGAAAGGGCAGCTAACCTGGTGAAATGGTCGAAGATGTTAGAAACAGGACCGCGAAACAGTTACTCGCGGAAATACGAAATGGGACTCCATTTCGTAGTGGTTGGTGCTGTTGTTGATGGTTTCATGCTCGGAGGATGTTTCATAACCAAAAGGTAATGCTGTTTTAATTACCTTGAACTTTACAATAATTTGACTTGTCTAAGGCTCAAGAGCACGCATATATAAATTTGATTTTGCGCTCATTTTTGGAACAATGGGCTAAAATTATACCGAAAATTATTTTATTCTTACGAAATGGTCAAACATGTATCAAGTGTGCGATCGGAAAAGAATAAGTCGTCAATGAAATTCTATTTTTGTAATAATATACAAAAAAAAATTGTTGGTGAAATTGTTGCCAAATCCAAATTCTAATTTGAACGTTAGTTTTTTCGTATACTTTATAATTTTATTATTGTTTTGTTGGTTCTTATCGATAATACATGTACAATATGTGATTAATTAAGATATACTGTATGCTATTGCATGCCTAAAAGGTTGCACATATGCTACTACTTGTGCATGTATAAAGATCATCAGATGCCAGTTTTGTCAACAGTCCTTTGCAATAGACTTGATCAACTGGTAAAATTAAAAGTGCAAAAAAACTTCTGTGCATTACTGTGACTTGATTATCAATACTACTAAAGTATGCATGCAAATATAAGAATTTATGAGAAAATTATTCACATACACGTAATCAAAGATGTCGATAAGTTTTTATTTGTAGTGTGGTAATTAATAACGTAAAATTTCATCTTCATCTATGCAAATTGTGTGTTATGAGATCGTAGTTCAGACCTGAAAGAGATATAGATATTAGAAATTTATTTTTTCGAATGTTATGAAAAGTTTGTTTAATTTTATAGCAAATTTAAGAGTTCCTATTTTAAAATATAAAATAAATATTGATATCTATCGAAACCATATAGTTCATTTTAATAAAGGGTCTCGTGTGAATTTTCATTAAAGCAGACTCTTTTTTCATAGCATAAAGTTTTTTTTTTAAAATTTTCGTTATGAAAAGAGATACATTCAAGTGAAGTGAACCAATAAATTATTTATCAAGGTCTTGAATTTCTCGTACTACGTGCATTATGGATCGTATCGAAAGATTTATATCAGGGAGTTGAACGTCAGACACATGATCAAACTAGTTGTAGCGAAGTTGTTTTAATAGCAGCGTTTGCCGCTACATTTTATATGTCGAAGAATTTTATGATGGGAATGCAGAGCAGAGAATAAAATATGACCGAGTGCAATAGAAACGGTGTAAGTTGTATTAGATTTATTAGGTTTTCTAATACAATTACACCGTGACTATAAGTTTAACTTATTATTTTAAGAAAATGAGAATATATTTCTTTTGTATTTTAAATTACATGAAAAAGATGTAAATAATATTCATATTCATGCGATATGCATTTTATATATTTTTGATAGCTACAATATCCAAACTTAAATTTGGATCTTATTTTAATTCATGAAAAAGAATTTCCTTCTGTGGTAGTGCCAGCGAATCCAACATTCGCGTAGCCCGGATCGTTGAAAAATAAGTATCCTCGATTACTCGGCGCCCCTATTTTTTCTGTAAGAAATTAGCGAATGCTTTTGAAATTTCGCGGTTTTTCATGCTATCGCCAAAACCTCCAAGACAATTAATATGAACAATATAGGCAGGCGCATCCGAGTTAGCAAAGAAGAGAAAGACCGTCTTGTAGTGCGACAATCATTCCTTCAACAGGATGCGGAAGAAGTGTGGCGGCAACAATTGATATTTCTTTAAGAAATTCTGTATGATTTTGAACATATTGACGTGTATAAATGTGAGTATAGGAGCTATTCTATATCTTTTTATTCATTTATTTTCACCTTGACGTTAGTTTTCACTTCGATAGAAGGTATTATTATTTTGGATAGGCAAAGTATAAGTCGTTAAAAGCTATGTGATAATCGTCAATTACATATACAGAAATATTCGGAATTTTTAAATTTGTATATAAATTATATAGTAAAGAATGAATAGAATTTATGAAGAACAAAGTTACTTAAGACATATTGGTTTGATATCTTATTAAAAATATCATTAAATTATAAAAACTAAAGCAACCATAAATGTAGCTAACTTTATTGATTATTTAATGAAAAAATGTCAGAATTATATCAAAATTTATAAATATCTTCTTTGTAATATAATGAACAATTTCACCTATAATAAAATAATAAGATTACTATATATTATTTTTAATAATATAAGCTCAATCTTTGTTGGATCTGACTTAATTTTTTACAATAAATTTTACTGAGAAAAGTGTAATAATAATTAATAATATTGATAATAATTCTGTAAAATATTTAAAACAAACTTGTTTTACAGGTTATCAAACTAAATTATCAGGCAATTTTGATAATTTTTCATTATTCTATCCACTATATCAAAAATTCCGGATATTTATGATGACCACTGTATTTTCACGCCCCGTCACCACCCATCATCATTTTGGGATGCTTCAACCATTTCATAATTTCGGAGTAGCTTAGCAGGCCGCGTGGTGCTGCCCAATCAAAACTGATACCGGTGTTTCTGCATAATAATAACGATAAACTTGAAATTTACTCGTTTTCGTTAATCTTTTTTTCTCTAATTGATTGAATACAGATTTCTATCCTGTGCAAATTTCTTTAAAAGTATCTAAATCATACTAATACTGTTATTTGCGCTAATTAAGTTTTTATTAGCATTCATAGCCATGTGAATAAAGTGTAGTTGTTCTATGATTAATAATAATAAAACGAGTTTGTGCCAATTCTATAAAAATAAATAACAATACAGTATTTTACATATACATTTATATTAAAATGTTCTACATGTATTTGTACAGTCAGTTTAATAATGTACCCTAATAACTTACTGTAAATTCAATAAAATGGTTTGAAATTTTTACATTTACAGTATATCATAAAGAATAATATAAATCCCCTCGTCAATTTGTTCAACACCCTCATGGTTAAAAAAAAGTGCTGTTAAGATAATATAGGCAAACAAGAATTTTACCTCTATATGGAATAAATGAACTGGTACTTCTAGAGTTGGCAACAATGTCTTTTTCAGTAATATATATTCTATGGGTGCCGCCCAACATCCCGACACCCATCTCCAAAATCCCGATACCCATCTTCCCGACAAACTAATATCCCGACAATCTAACTTCCCGATAAATCCAACTACCTGACAATATAACTTTCCAAAAAACTAGTCCCAATTTCGGGATCGACCGCTAGCATTAAAATGCAAAATTATGTCGGAAGGATTGATGTTGGATTTCGGGGTGTTAGATTCTGGAAGTTGGGTTTGTCGGATGTTAGATTGTCGGGAGGTTGGAATTCGGAAAGATGGGTTTGTGATGTTAGGGTAGACCCATATTCTATTATCAACGATCATTTTTGAATTTGTGAACCTTTCGAATTTGACTTCGGTGTCTTTTTCATAATGTCAAACGCTTGTGAAACATACGTTAATATTGTAAAATAAAAATAAATATAGTTTGGTACATATAACTGACGTTTGTTGATGTAGCATGTCTATATCAAAATTCTGTAGTCACATACTCTGAATACAAAAAGTACTTTTTTAATATATAAACTTAAATATTTTTACAAAATTTATATATACAATATTACAAACTATATTTGGAAAGGTAGGTTTTACCAAGAATATAGTCTATAATAAGTTTTGAGGATGAAGACTGAATTATTTATAAAGATTAAGGGGATAATGATTATTCTAAAGGTTTCCAAGTGCCAATACTTACAAATATTATATCAACACAAGGCAAAAATGAAATAAAATAAGAATGAAGTTGTGATCATGAAAACTAAATTAAATACAGGTACCTAAAACTAAAGCAACAAATGCTATAATAAAAACAAAAGATTTAGTATGCTAACTAAATCCTCTAACAATATCTTTTCAACTATTGGGCAAACAAAGTGTATATACCAAAACAAATCAAAAGCTTTATATGTGGGAAAGCTTACAAGAATCTCCTAAATCAAATAAAATATACTTGGCTTATTTTAAGTGAAGGACATCCATTACCTACATTTTTCAGGCAAGAAAAATGTGTAAATAACCAGAATATAATCTATTATGATAAAAGAGATAAATAAAAGCAAATTATTAAGGTAAAGTTCAAAGAAAAAATTACAAGATAAGTATAACTCAAATATTTTCAAGATAATTAAATTATTGCTATTCAAATACATTTATTTCAGGTTTGAGAGCAGAGATATTTATATATCTTTGAGATTTTACAGATTTCTATCTAAACTCATTTGCTACTCTAATTTACAATTATAAACTTTGGAGCAAAGAATCAATAAATAAACAAGTAAAATAATAAGATAAGATATATGTGATAAGTTAAAAGATAATACAAATAATAAAATAAAATGAAAAGATATGATAAATATTCTAAAAAGAAAAAGATAATAAAGAAAATAAATTAAATTTATTGCTAAACTGTTTCTAAAGTATTTCTGAATTATTATTGAATCATTTATAAATTATTATTAACTTTTAAACTAATTATTCATTCATAATCTTGAAGTATTACTAAAATATTATAGAAATGTTACAATATCATTACTAAATCATAATTGAATTCATAATTAATATATCAATTATATTATTCAAAGTCATATATCTTTTAAAGATCTACTAATTAACTAAAAATTCCAAGTTCAAAAAATTATGAAATTAAAGAAATTTATATTATTATAGTAAAAATAATAGAATAGTAATTTTATCTTCATTTAGAATATATAAACTAGTACTTATATTTAATCAATCTAAAAGTTATTTGATTAAATATAAAAAATAAATTTGTGTATCTGTATCAGTTGTATTTTATCTTATTATTAAATTTTCACTTTATTATTGATTAAAAATTCTAAAGTCTTCTTATGAGATTATTTTTCATGCCATTATTTATATCTATTATTATAGAATGAATAAATTTTTATTAATCTAACAGAATAATACTGAAATCTATCTGTCTTGGATCATTAATTAAAAATATTTGAAAAGCAATTTTATATATAATCTTGTTTTTCTTATCTAATACCTTACTCTAATTAAGTATAATAAAAATTCATAATCTAAATTAGAAAATTTGAAATTTGGTTAAATAAAACTAATTATTATTATATAATATTATAATTATACATAAATTTTTGCAAAATGTTATTTAGCTTCAGGAAATTTTTATATCTATAAGAGAATAAGTATATTGATATGTTATTTTTCACATAATAATAACAAGATAAGATATCTTTTTCAATTAGAATTGGATTAGCACACTGTAAATACATAATGTAAGAAAATAAAAAATTCTAATTTTTAATAAGATCAGTTCACAATAAATTTTTATATATAAAAATTAATCAAATAATATTTAATACTTTAAATTTCTAAATTAAGATTGATCATTTCATTTTTTTCTCTATGGATTTTAGAAGAATTCAAACTCTCATTCCAATTAGAAATCACCAGAGCAAAATTCTTGAAATATTATGATCTATAAGAATTAACTAGAAACTCGTAGAAATTCTGAAGGACTTGAGATTACATCTTCAGATAATACTTCAGAAACTATTTTAGTAATAGTAACAGATAAAGAAAGTGCACTCAAGTCAGAACCAAGTCTTATTTAATGCAGAGTCAAGACTAAGAGAAACTTACAACAAACCAAAAGGAATAATGCTTAAGATTCTCTATTATAACAGAGCTGGTCTTATGTTGAAATTACTATAGCCATAAAATAACAAAGTCTATTTCTAGAAAGAGAATCTTTAAAGAGAACTGGCAAGTTACAAATGAGTAACTAAAACTCTTTATAAAGTGATATTGATATTTATAGAGGTGTATTTTCATCACAATATCATCAATTTAAATAATATTCAAATCTAAGAATTAAATTACAAAATAGAAAATATATTTATACAAAATAAAATAAATACAAAATATAAATAAATTAATAATTCTAAAATACATATGATTAAATATAATTAAAGAAATTAATAATCTTATATTATATCTCTAAAAAGCTAATTATATTTAATTATTTAATTTAATAATATATGAATAATTAATAATATAAATAATAAATAAATATAAATAAATATAAATAAATAAAAATATAAAGAAATAATTAATAATAAATAAATTAAAATAAGAATAATCT